AGTTTAATGTAGAGCAGCAATAAAAGCACCTTATGTGGTGAAATTGTTTTTTGTTAAATCTTTCAGATTCTCTTGTTTAGGAGGATGTGTCAAAATCATATGTATCTTTTACATCGAATGAAATAAAACACCTGATTTCTACCCATTAAAATAAATAAATTTTATTTAATAACATCAGGTTACTGTGGAAAACTAATTGCAAAGTCCTGGAATTTTCACATGAATAAATTTTTATTTGTAAGTAAGCTGGTATTGGTTATGCTGCTATCCAAAGTAATAACAGAAGAATTTGAAGATACTTAGCAGAGGCTTGAAGGTGGAAGTGGGTTTGGTGAAGGCTGGGTGGGGGGGTGCATCTAGGAAGCCTTTATTGTTTCCTTGCACGATTGTCTTCTACAAAATGTAACGGAAGACACAAAAGAAGCCTGGCTTTAGTTCTAGCTTTTGTCTTTAGATTTGTGCCTTCTTTTTTCCTGGCCATCAGAAGCAAGCATGCGTATTATGAATATTTAACCTGTTAAAGCTGGGTCTACCACAAAATATTTAACTACTGCTTTTAAAGCAATAAATGGTTTAATAATTGTTCTTAAATCATTTAGTTCTTGTGAAATCTGCCTCCTTTTCCCTCATTCTCTAACTCATCCTCGCAGCTGCATCCTTTAATATTTCAGTTATACAAATGAGCTCATTTTGGCCATGAAAAATGAGAAAAAACAGCAAGGATTCCATGGTCTTTTTTTTGACTTGCCACAAGATACAGTCATGCCATCTCATTCTCTACCTTGAGTGGGCTAGTTGCACCATTTCCTTCTGTTGCAGTAAGCTTTCTGATGCTTTCAGTAAACAAGACTTTGGTAATAATGCATGTTTCAAGTAAGTGATGAAGAAGAACTTTGTGTGGTTTCTCCTACATCTTGTGGTATGAACTTGCTGTTTTGTTCAAGGAGCTTCATGCAAAAGTACCTGTATGAGAAAGCTCCAGGATACGTCTCTTCCTACATGAAAGGATGAGAACATCTGCAGCGCCTTGAGGGCAGGGGAGCAAAGGAAGGAAAGGTGAAGATGGGGAGCGTGTCTGCCTCAACAAATGTATGTGTGAGTAAAGGGGCAGGACACAAGAAGGTTGTGGCTGTTCTCCCCAAGGAGCACTCAGCTGGGATCTGAGCCACCTGGAAACTGCTTCATTGTCAGCCACAGCTCTCAACTGCTGTGCTAGTCCTCTTTACGTGTATGAGTCTTAAAGAAGCTGAAGATGTCTGCCTTGGAATGCCATCTGCATCTCTCCTAGCATCGAACATACTTTTCTTCTTGAAAGAGGAAAGGCTTTGACAGCCTTACTTGCTCAAGTGCTGGTTCAGAAAAAGCTTTCTGTTGCTTGGCATGTTTTGTTTTATAGACATTAATGTGGCTTTTAGTTCCCTCAGATGTTGATGAGACTGGAAAACACTTGTGTTCATAATAGTTCCTAAACTGTTTGGATTATCTGCAGTTTAGAAGCCAAGTGGTAAATCATGAGGAGAAATACAGTGTTAGTGCTGGATATATTGACAGGGTTTTCTGTGCACAGATGGAAGGGCCATACCCCTCCATAAACTGGCTGGAGTGGAGCACAGGCTAGAAGCTGCTGGGAAGCTTTTCCAGCTTTCAGGTCATTACAGGTGGTTGTGTCCTGGACCTGATACCTTGTTTCTGATGCTGTACTGGGGATGTGAGGGATGCTGCTTCTTGCCTCCAGGGCCGTATACCAAAAGGATCCAGCACCTGGGTTTAGCCATTTCCTGCAGCAGCCTCTGTGAAAGAAGAGTTTCTTGTCTGCACAGGCAAAGATAAAAACATAAATAAATGATGGAGCAGAGAAAGAAGGACTGTGCTTTACTTGAGATATTTCATTACATTTCTGATTGTCCTATCTGTGGCCTACACAGATAAGGCAGCCTCAGGCTGGCTTAAAACCAACTGTAGTTTCTCATCTCTGCTCCTTTTGTCCTCTTTTATCCTTTCAGCCAAGATCTGATGTGTCCTTCATGGGCCTGTGTTCCTCAGGAGTCCCTTCCAATCCTTAAGTATCAATCTAGGATAAGTGTGATAATGTACAATCCAAATCTTTGCTGAAAATTAATGATTATTTTTTATGTCAATTAAAAATTGATCACTGGCCTCAGAGGTACTTAGTTGTATTTTTACTTACTTCCTGACCCTGTCATTTCCTCACTAGGAAATGTGTTTATCCTTTTAAAATCGCCATTGCAATAGCCTGTTGCAATAGCCACAGAATGGTCTGTTCCTTTCGTAGGGCGTTGGATGCAGCCCTGTTGATGTGAGAAAAGCACTCCCAACTGAGGGGAGGTCTCTTCTCTGAGCTTGGATAGTGGTGGAAGGGTGTACTGTTTTCCATGGAATACAGCCTGACTATTTCTATGATGCTTCAGTGATCACTTCTGGCTAATTATCTTACTTGGCCTTGAGTATCTTAACATTGTCTTTATCAGCACCACTTCATTTTCCCAAGTATCCTGACTCATCCTTTCCAACTGGAAAACTGGGTGGATAGTGTCTTTTATGGCTTTGATGTATGCACTCTCAAATTTTATTGAAAGCACTTAATATACATGTGACACAATGCAGAAAACTAAACACTGTGCTAATTTTTGTGGTATGTTAGTAAATGAAATAGTCTGTTTATTATTCTTTGAGGTGTGTAGAAAATAAAACTTTATATCAGGGCTGACTTGCATATATATGGAGAGGAGTAGGTATCAGTAGAGAGTACTAATCCAGCCAGATTGTGTAATAATGCACACAAATCACACAGTTCATCAAATTTCTGATCCCTAGGGATAGCCCGAAGCAGCTAGTTAGCTCTGTTCCTCTAACGCTACAAAGCAAGATGCTTGGATCAGATCCTTAGTGTTGTGATTATGGAAATTGGCAGCAAAGTCAGCTCAAGGAGTTACCACTCCTGGTCACCTCCCTAAGCCCTTACCAGTGTGTTACTGCTCAGTTTGAGGCTACAAATGCAGCCAGAGCTCTTGTTTGTGGTGTTTCTGTGACCCATATCACTGAACTGAACTGACCCAGGGGTCAGGGCAGGGCTAGCAGTGCGGACCATGCCGTGTAACCCCAGCCTGATGCCCCAGAGCCAGCTGAGATAAAACTGTTGGTGTTATCCCAGATGATATATACATCCTATAGAAACTGTGTGTTTAACATCAAAATACTGTTTTGGACGTGTTGAGATATGGTAACATCGATTTAATTTCTTAGATTATGGAGCAGATTAGACTGTAAAAGACTGGGATGCTGACTTAGCTGTCAGCTGGTTTTCTGCTGCTGACATGAGGCACAGTGCTCCTTTCAGCACAGACAATAAATGATCGTCTATGTAAATAATAGTGAGTTCTCTTTTTAACCTCTAGTGTGTTGGCAGGCTTTTGCTCTAGAAAGAAATGCTCGTTAAGTGTGTCTCATTCTTTTCCACATTCAAATGCACGCTTTTAGGTTTTTGTGGATAATACCTATAGAAATCTTACCAGTCAGAATTTTCAGTGTTTTAACTGGGGCAACCTGATACGTGTAGAGCTTGATATTTAAAAATATCAGAATAAGAAATGAGAATTTGATGATTCTTGAAGAATTAACAAGGAAAGCGTGGAGTTCATTTAAAACTACGCTGAGTAGTCATAAAAATAGCAGGACTGATGGGAAAATGCCATGGCCAAACCTTGAGCAAGGCTGTGATGTTTCAGCTCGTTTGCAAGCTCACCAACAGCAGAGCATTTCAGAAGGCCTTTGGCCCTTTTTGTTAATGAAAATTTGGTTCTTTCTTCCGTTGAATTAATCTAAACTCCATATGTGTGACAGCCTTAGCAGTCCTGACTTTGTTGCACCTCTTTGCTGCCCAAATGAGGTGCCATCCACCTGCTCTGCACCCAGCCATGGACTCCACTTCTTGCCTGTGCTGGACATCACCAGTCGCTGTGCTCCAGCGGCTCAAAATGAACTGCAGCCTCGTGCTCCTGCCTGCAGTGCACCTCCAGCCCCAGTGCTGACACAGTGACCAGACAGCATTTCATTCTCTGCTGTGATAGCCATTCATTACTTTACAGGACCATCCGTGGAATTACACAGCTGTCAATTCAGTATGACAGCAGACCCTGGCACAGTGTTAATTTCTTCAGGTAGTGTATTTCAGCATTAATACTTTGTATCCATCAGTGCTTTTGCATTAGTTAGCTCTAGCATTTATTTAATGTGGAGTTCACATCTGTCATTTGTGAAGGGGAAAAAAGCATATTTGATTTCCTGAAACGCAAACTGCAAGAGCAGTTTAGGGAAAGTAACTTCATGCAACTGACTGCTGTGGGCTTTGCCTGTCCGTGAGCTCTGCACTCAGCAGCACCTGCCCAGGTTTTGCATAGACCCGACTGGAAAGCCAAGACTTCTTGGGCAGGCAGACAGGTGATGTCTACAGTATGTTACAGGCTGAGACAGAGTGCCTCCTTTGGCATGGTCTGCTTCAGTGGTATGAAAAGATGGTGTTCCTCAGCCTCCAGCGCGTGCCCCGTGCTTCAGCCAGCACTACTACTCTGCTCTGAGAACACAGCCAGTCCACGGGCATTTCTATTCTCACAGCAGCTCTTAGTTTTTCATTTCACAAAGAGGACTCTTCAGAAAGTAAACCCGTGGCATTTTTCACAGGTTTGCTACTTTTCGCAAACTGCTGCTCATTGCACAAGGGGCTCGGAGATAAGGCCTTTCTCCCACTCAAATCCTCTTGCTCAGATGGGCAAACGCACCCAGTGACTTAAAGAGAAAGGATGGGTTGTAGCAAAGCTTCAGCTCCCTCATACGACATTTGTTCAGCCATCCCAGCTTTCACAAACCATTCTGTTGTTTTGTAAACCATGTCCCTACATCTCTTTGTTGTCTTTTGTCATGCTTTGAAAAAATAAACTCTTTCCCCTTTCAGCCAGAAAAAAAATCTTTTATTAATAACATTTATCAACAAAAAAACATTTTTATTTTGCCTTTTAGATCTAGGTGACTGCTCTGCAGCCTCCAATAGGAGCTACCCAAACAGGCACTGACACCCTGAATGTGTTGGCCCTCTCACAACTGCCCCACTCCTCAGTGAGATACTGATGTGCATGCCCCTCCTGCTCCAATCCACAGAAACAGCCCTTTGAGATCTTTTCTCCTTGGCAAATCCCTGAAGCTGACCTTGTGTCCAGGAGCCCTGCACTATTTCCTCCTCTTTATCTAGCTAGGTCAATGCAGTGAGATTGGCCGAAAGTGGAGGTCAGTCCCCGAAGAACCAGTACATAAAGTACTTCTCTTCCTGATACTCTACACAAGGCAACAATGTAACACAACACAGGTTTTGTTTCCTTCCTCCTGACCTACACATCCAATAGACAGTGATGGGGAACCTGGTCACTATCTTTCACGAGAAAATAAATGACAGCTTTGAAAGCCTCAACCAAAGTGTCTCAGCAGATATATTTCTAACAACTGCCTGCCCGTGTGGAATGAGTTAAGGGACTGCAGCCCCTCAGCAGTCCTCCTGTTGTCAGTGGGAGTCCCACCACTTATCACTGGAGCCCAATTTCACTGTATGCAAAATGGGTTGAAAAGAACAGAAAAACTCTACAGGATAGTAATTAATGGTCGTTTAGAACAGCCAAATAAGTGCTTCTCGTCTCTGTGTCACCAGTGTCACCACTGTGTCAGGTCAGTTATAACTGACCTGATTGTAAAAAAGAAGAACATCTCAGTAATCCTCTGAATAAGTTTCCCCTGCACATGCAAATAAAAATCAGTTACAGGCTGCTGCAATAGTAACAAACATCAGCAAATGCCAAAGGCTGCAATCTTAGCACATTCGTTTTGGAAACCTCTTACATAACTTGCATAATTTAAATATTTACAAAATATAAACTTTCTCATCTTATCAAAAATAGGTCTTTGCACATTTAAACAACAGAAATCCTTTCCCGTGATGCTTTTTTAAACCCAGGAATTGTACCACTGCATATAAATAAACAACCTTTTTCAGATGTAAAATAGAATTAAACTAACACGTGGAGGGGAGAAAACATTATTGATAACAGTTGAAATATTTTAGTGGTGTGAGCCAATCCTTCAGTGATATTGTGCACTGAACTGACTTGGGATACTAATGAAAAGTTCTATTTGTAGCTCCTGTAAGAGAATGTGATTGAAGTATTAAAATTCTCTCATTTTATGACAGATTTATTTGGGCTGAGTCTCACATGGCTGTGAAAATGTTGGTGAGCCCCAGCAGGATGGCTGAAGACAGCAGGTTGACACACAGTCCAACACTGGGGCGATAATGGGTTGCAAATTGTGCTCTTGGGTGCTGAGGAGGATACCAGTGAGGGACTGCACTTCCCTCAAATACCAAGCTGTATTTCTGTCCCTCCTCAGACCTGGCCTTTGTGCATTTGAAAGACAACTTGTACAAGACCCTGAGGTTGCTGTTTGGCACGCCATGCTCACCACATTCACTGAACTGTGCTCCAACCCACCCCAGCTGTGGGCACAGTTTGCTCCAGGCCAATGGGCCGTCCTCTCCTATCCCACATCTCCATAGGCACACACGTTTCTGGGTACCAGGAGCTCTTCTGCACATCACACAGAGAGCTTTTCAAAAGGTCACAAAGGAAATGCTTCAGGATGAGCAGAACATACAGCACTCCTGTATTTTTTTTTTGTAAGACTGGTAGAAATGAATCATACAGCAGATCCATCTGATGTGTCTTACAAGCCTCCTAGCCCTTCATCCTCTGGCTGATAAGATCTTGGGTTCTCTGCACTGTACCCACTGATCACATTTATCTTCAAGATGTTGTGGCTATTCAAGTGCCAAAGAGATTTTAACTCTAAAATGGAGATGGCTCAAATGTGCCACTGGGAGTCTGTTGCTGTGGCTGTCCCTGTGTGCAGGCTGCTCTCCACTCGTGACTTTTGTACACCAACTGTTTGGAGTATGCCCTGTTTGGCGATGCCCTGGAGGTGAATCCCCCATAGTCCCTGTTCCAGTAACTGCTGTCTGCATGGCGCACAGCCCGCTGTGGGGCGGTTTGGCTGTTTCTGTGCTGAGCCCTACTTGCAGGTGTGTACGTCAGTCATGGTCTCGCACCGCCGGCAGCGCACGTAGCAGCACCAGATAAACTTGCACTCACACCTCTCCACGTGCCTGACCACATGCGTGTTGTACCCGCGCCCGCAGCACAGCAGGTTGCAGCCATCGGGTCCATCCGACGTGCGATTGCATTCCCTGCCCTGAGTCCCAGGGATGCCCAGTTTCTGATCTTCGACGCAGTAATTGGGCGATTTGTTCACATACAGCAGGTCTTCTTTCTGGATTGGTATTTTTCTCTGGCTCTTCTCTTTCCTGCGTAACTTTCTTTTCAGCTTGTCTGATATCTGTATGCTGTTTTCATACTTATCCTTTAAAAACCGGCCAATCTTTTCAAAGGAGGACATGGTTTTCCAGCAAGTTTTCACAGCGCATGACCCAGAAACACCGTGACAACGGCAGTCCACTGACATCAGCTTTGCTACAGCCTGAAAGCAAAGGGAGAAGACATTTGGATGTAGTCTTTCATCCATTGGGAATACGGCCCGATACCAGTAACCCAGACATCTCTAAGTATTTAATACTGCTACCGCCAGCCAGACCACAGGAAGGTGCATTTTATGAACCATGTTTCTACCTCCAGACTTCCAGCAACCCAGTGGCAGAATGATTGAGGTTGGCAGGGAGACCTGGCACAACCTCTGCTCCAGCAGGGATGCCCAGAGCAGCGTGCCCAGGTCCACATCCAAGTGGCCATTGAAGATCTCTGAAGAGGAAACTGCACAGCCTCTGGGCAGCCCATGCTGGTGCTCAAAAGATCTCCAGAAATGGCCTATATATGCACCTTGCAATGGCAATAACTAAGTAGTATCAAAATGCCAATATTAGAACTTTGTATTTCTCAGCAGCTTTTCTTTCTGAAGAGCAAATGGCCCTTGTGGGGAACAGCAGGAGGGGAAGCAGCAAAAGAACAGCTAACAGCACCATTCCTGAGATGAAAAAGAATTTTAGCATCTGTGACATCTTCTAAGGATGCCTTGAGGCTGGTGACCATCCAGATCACCAGTCACAACGCAGTCTGTGACCAGTGACGGGAATGGCTTGAGGTGCTTTATGAGGGTCTGTGTGACCGGTGTGGCCCAGCAGCTGAACCCACAGATTGCTGGAGTGCCCTGGAGCACAGTAAGTGGGTACTCACATCGCTGAGTTGCAGGGAAAAGCCCTGGAAAGAGACACTGGGGCTCTGCAGAGAGACCTTCAGCTCAATCTTCTGTTGTAAATCTGAGGTGTTTCTTACAGTGATAAACCCTGATCTTGAAATGTAGGCATACACATACTACAATGGATTTCCACTGTTTCCAGTGCCCTTAAATGTGCACACATCTATGCTCAGATGGATGCAAGCAGTGGCCTGCACTACAGCTATCCAACCAACAGTGGAAATCTGCAGCCTGTGTTTAACTTTTGCAATATGCAAGAATTTTGGCACATTTTATATGAAAGCAAGCAAGAACTTGAAACTGTAAACAACCAACAACTTCCTTTATCTGGGACTGTAATTCAGACAACCAGCAGACAACAATTAGCAGACAACCAGCATAGCACTTCCTTCTAGAACAGCTAATAGTCATGGTATAAAATTATACAGTTAGTCTTGTGACACATTACAGTTAGGATAAAAATAAGGAAAAAAATAATCACATATAAGATATAGCAGAAGGATAAGGTATTGTAATTTGTGCTTCATTTTACCTTTTCATTTTTTTGTATTCTTTGTAGCCATCTGTGGGCTCACATGGGTTGGTGGTTAATAGCATGTAAAGCCATGCTACACTATTCCTTTTTATTGACCTTCTGTCTCACATTTCTTTTCCAGAATAAAGGTAGTTAGAAAACGTAATGGAAAGAGAGAATTTTAGTTTTTCTTAAAACTTCTCATACAGCAAAGCCAATACAGATTCAAAATATTTTTCTATGGAGGAAACATTAAAGAGGAGGAAAGATAAAAAAATATATATATCTTCATGCTGCTTATTAAAGCTCACCTGAAATCTTCAGCTCCTTCACAGCACCCACAGATAGAAACCACTGACAATCTATGTTTTCCTCAAAATATCTTAGAAAGAAAAAAGAGAAAACAAGCCCATCTAACACCCTTAGTTTTCCTAGGGGAAATAAGTTTAATTTGTGCCTGTTCTCAAGTCCAGATCCCGTGGTGAGAGCAGAGGCTGGGAGCCTTGATACTGATACATAAATATTATAGGCAATTTACAAACAGAAGGGGTTTAACAGTATTTTCCAATTTCAAATGATCATTTATTTGCACCACAGCAAGTAACTGAAGTGCTGAAGTAGTTTGAAACCACATTGTGCTGTAAGCCTTGTAGTTACAGATGCAATGTTAGTCTTCACTACAGCATGACAAGGTGCTAACTAGGGAAGAAATAACGGAAGGAAAACACAGGGTTTGGTTTGAAGAAAAAAAAATATACTTCCAAGTCTGCTATGACAAGACACAGTAAAACCTGGATATGGGAGAATGATTCAGATGTTGTCTGGGGAAGTCCTGAACATGTCTGCTGGGTGCTAATGGAGAGTGAGCTCCATGTGGGCAGCAGTTCCATGTAGCCCAGCAGTGACACTCAAGAGTCTTTCTCTGAGGATAAATTAATGAAAACAGGAGTGGAAAATGATTCTAAACAGGAGTGGAAAATGATATTGGAGTCACAGGTTAATGTCAAAGTATGAAAAAACAGCATACATTAGCTGTATATGAAACATCAGATCAATGTGAATGCTACCAATATACATCTGTGTGGAGTCATTGAGAATATACACTGCAATCACAAACATTTGTGTTCTTGTTCAGCATGGCTTTAGCTTCTTCCATAAAGTTTTCATGCAATCTGCTTTCAAATGATCAACGGTGTCATCACAGTTGTGCTTGACCCCAGGTTACTGCTTCCCAGCTGCTAGAATGGGCAGGTTTTCTGGTTGGACGCCAACACATTTTGGGCCAACTCTGCTGACAGCACTGGGAGCTGACATCTTGCTTTGTCTGATTACAAAACACAAGCCTGGACCTCAGGCTGTCATGTGAACTCCATTAACAAACTCCAAAAGTTGAACATCTGGCAAAATTTAGAGACTGGGAATCTTCTTTTGCTTTTTTTCTTAGAAACAAATCTAATCCAGTGCCTACAGAGCTGACACAGCTTTCTGTGGGGACGTGGCTACAACACACTGTAGAGCCCAAAGAAGCAAAATTTCCAGCTTCACTCCCCAGTCGGTGCTTGGTGTCACATCTCTAGGTTCACATGGGGAATATTTTCAGTTACTCATGAAATACTGGGACAGAAGTCTCCCTAAATAGCAAAACTTCATACAGATGTTAGGATGCACACTGCTGATCACACAAACACAGTGGACACGTGTCCACCAGTACAGGCTGGGACAGTTTTTTGGTTTCCTTAGGTTGGTCATGAAACCAAGAAGGCTGTTTGCTTGTGAGAAATGACCAGCGTTGAACCAAGACAGGTCTATGATGGTCATATTCAACCACAAGCCCACACGCTTGCCTTTTGCTGACCCTAAGTTGTGTGGGTGCTGGCAGAAGAGTTAAAGTGTTAAACTGGGCACAGTGATCAACACTGATCTGTGTTAAAAAATAACCTAAAAGAAGGCTATTTTTAGGTGACTTCCTTTCACTGATCTGATGTAATTAAGAGAGGGAGTGACATGGGGAAGGAAAGTGTGGCTGTAACAGGCAGATGGGCAGAAAGCAGAGATTTGGCTGCAGCAGAGTGTCAGTGGAATTGTATGTAGTCTGTGTACCCCTTACTGCCAATCACTGCTGAATAACTCCAGGTCAAGCCCTCTGTTTGCAGTCCTCATTCTCAGCTGTGAGGCTGGGACTGTGACCACCTGCTCTGTGGTGAAAACCAGCAACTGCAATCAAATATCTTAATTTAAGGCACAAACAGATGAGGAGTACTCATGAAGATGAGCACATATTCTAACGGAGGTACAACACTCAAGAGCAGTTGCAGATTGCTATCAATCCTCAAGTACCAATAAAAATTAACCCTCTAAGGAGCTAATCTACTTGCATGTGAGAAGATAAGTCCTCCGGGTCAACACACTTCACTGGTGTGTAATTGAACAGGAATTCTTCCATCAGTGGAAAAATATTACTACAGTAGTACCTATAATTTTTCTAAAGCAGCTCACATATGCATATCTAAGTACACTGAACATTACAATGCCAAAAGATGAAGAATAACTATCTTATAGCAAAATAAGGAATGAAATATGGACCTTTTGAGGTTCAGGTTAGTACTATAAACAAAGCACAACTCAGTCAAATTATCATTATTCTTTCAGAATTGATATACCTTGGACTTAACTATGAAATGTAGAGATATAAAATGGGAATGGGAAAGGAACAAGAGAATTCCCAGCATACCATTTCCATGAGTTACTCCAAACAAACAGTATTGTCCCTGGAAGATTGCTCTTGCAAGACACACAACCAGGAACACGATAGTATTTATTACAAAAGGTCATAAGGTACCAAAATGTATTGCAAAACATCCTTCCTGTAAGCCCCAAAACATGAGGGTCAACATTTTCCAACATCTAGTCAGGGATTTTGAAATTAGAAAAATGAAGAGTTCTGCTAAACTTCACTTCAGTTAATATCACTATTAAAGATCCCAAGGACCAACAATAAATGTTCTCTTTCATTCTGGATGATGGTCAAAATATTTACTTCAGCCTACAGCTTGCTATTAAGTTACAAAATATTTATGCATGGAAGCTAACTGAATACTCTGCATATTTTCATCCAAGATAACAAACAGTAAATAGACCATTGCTAGAAAACCATCAAAGCTAAGGATCTTCAGGCTTGCAGTGGATGATGGGTTTTTCTTTTAAGTGAAGTTAGCTTGAAAAAAATGGTCACATGCATCATATGCACCACAATTTACGAGAAGTCTGAAACCCTACTATGTCTTCAGGACCTGATGGACACTGATGGGTCACTGTAGATGAGCTGATCCAACTTAAAAGACATTAGCTTCAAAAGAGAAGCTTCTTTTCTAGTTTAGGGAGATGGCAGCGTTCTCCCTTTAAAGCTAACATGACCCCAAACAACAGGGCTGGCCCACCTGCAGTAAGCAGCTGTAACCCAGCGTGGGCATGAGTGAGCTCTGAGTACAAGGGTGGTGCAGGAAGAATACATGCTGCCACTGAAGGCAAGAGGACAGCAAATCGCTGCTGCTGCTGAGCTAAGTAAGAATAGAAGAGAGAACGGGGCTTCAAGGAAACATTCTGTGTCACTGCCACCTAAACTCGGAAATAACATCTCTTTTCTTCCAGAGTTCATCAAGTGTCTTGCACTTTGTTTCCAACATCTCCACTGTCACACTGATCTAAGAAAATGTCACTCTTTCACAGTCTTGTTTTACTGATCTCCATGAATTGAGTTCTTTTCTTAATTCTCTGCAATGGGAGATACAACAGAAGTCTCAGTGTACGTGAAATGCAGGTTGGCAGGAGTGAACCAAAATGTCACTGTGGATTGTTGTTCTCTTCCTAATGACAAATATGACCATTAAAATAAAAATCTATATCTGTATTACACACTAAATAACGTGAGAGATAAAGAGATTTAAAGAGAGATTATTTTCTGGAGATTATTACCTCCTCTCTTAATTATTTCTCTCTACAAATGTGACTAATAACTTTTTGCTCTTTCTCTAAAGAATAACCACTTAATCTCCTCCCCTTTTGTTAATATCCCCCACTACACAACACCAACCACCACTCCTTGGAGATGATTTTAGCTGCCTGGCATCTAATTGAACTTAAAGTAACCGTTCTCAGCATCTTCTTCATTTTCAAGTTTATTTCATAGAATTGGAGAATGGTTTGAGTTGGAAGGGCCTTAAAGCCCACCCAGTCCAACCACGTGCCACAGGCAGGCTGCCACCCACCAGCTCAGGCTGCCTAGGATCTCATCCAACCTGGCCTTCAGTGCCTCCAGGGATGGGGCATCCACAGCTTCTCTGGGCAGACTGTGCCAGGGCCTCACCACCCTCTGAGTAAAGAATTTTCTCCTAACATGTAATCTAAATTGCCTCTCCTTTACTTTAAAGCCATTCCCCTTTCTCCCATCACTACACTCCTTGGTATTGAGTATCTCCCCATCTTTCCTGTAGGCTCCCTTCAGGTGCTGGAAAGCTGCTACAAGGTCTCTCCAAAGCCTTCTCTTTTCCATGCTGAACAATTCCAAATCTCTTAGTCTGTTTTGATAGGAGGTCTTCAGACCTAAAAAGGGTGTACGTCTCTCAAAGATTTGCTATTTTTCCTACAATATAACTTAATTAAATAAAATATATTACCTCATAACATATAAAAGTAAGTTTACTTTAAAACAGCTTGCAGTGGTACCACCGTGGTTCTTTTTTGAGATGTTGGCTTACTGTGGCTATTCCCAAACCATATCTGATAGGAAAGTTATTTTCTATAAAACCCAGCCATGCTTTTTCTGAAATTTCAGAGTTACAATGTCGGCCAGCAAGTGTGAACAATATGTTGTCCAAAACCAGAGAGTTACCATTTCTTTTCTTCAGTTACAGCAGTGCCTCTGAGCAGAATAGATTTAAAGAATTATGGGGCCAGAGAGAGCCATCAAGCGCTTATGAAGTCAACAACTGCCATGTAAAGCAGGGAAACTAATTTTATAGCAAGAACCAGAATGCTCTGTCATTGCAGATGTAAACCTCAGCCACCTGATTTTGGACTCACATCACCTGTACTGGCTAGTTCTGCCTCATTTATTGGGGTTCTCTGCAGACCAGCACAGAGGAACCAGTGTTCCACACTCATACACTGTACGAGGGCAGGAACACTTTGTTACCAGGGCTTTGAATTCTCTTGGGAGAAGATCTATTTGAAGCCAACCTTCTCTCTTTGCTTTGGCTGCTTCACAGTAGGACTGTCATTTCCAACCCATCTTTCAAAAGAAAAGGTTACATCTCCTTTTCCTCATTGATCCTAGATTATTGCCCACAGATAAGGACCCCAGACTGTGGATCCCAAATGAGTGATGGTCTCCAGTGAGTCTGTTCATTCATCATTAGAAAGAATTAAAACCCCAAGCAATAACAGAATATTACAGAAAATAAGGGAAAAAAATCTTCAAGTAGTATTCTGATAATGAGACTAGTTAAACTTTGCTATGCAATAGAGTATCAATTACCTATTTGTGAGCACTTTGATCAGCACTCCAGAATCAACGTGTATTTTGTGAATTTTATTTGAACCCATAACATTTACTTAGTTAAGAACAACTTGATTCTGGGTTTGTAAGTGTTGACTTTGGAGGTGTCAGCCCAGTTCTTGCCACTTGTACCTGCAGTCAAGGACCAGCCTCACTTGACTGATGCCCTTTGCGAACAGAACGAAGCTAACCATGGCTTCCAAGCTCAGCAGCAACACGTACCTGCCTCCCAGCCTCGTTGTTGTGCAGGTTCATCGCCAGAAGCCCGTTGCCACTTTTTCCTGACGCATTCCTGATGGGCGCATCCAGGAAGCTCCTGCTGAAGGACATCCCGTAGTGGATGTCGTCGGAGCAGCCGCCCCAGTGCCAGCCCTCGCTGGCCGAGCCCCCGCCCTGCAGCTTGGTGTCACAGGAGCACTCAGTCACGTTTCCTGCGCTGCAGGAGCGGGTCACGGCATGCACCAGCCCTGCTGCCGTCACTGCATACACAAACGCGGACTCCTTCGTGCCTGCAAGGCAATGCAGGGCTGTTAGCTCACGGCTCCCTAGCTCTGCATGCTGGCGGAGCTGAGGGAACCGATTTTACAAGCCAGAGCATTATTAAAAGGGAACAGTTCTGAAGTTAAAGTTGTCACACCTTGGTCTCCGGAGTTAACTTGTTTAAAGAAGCCATCAATATTCACATCCAGAAAAAGACTTCAGTGCCTATTCATATGGCTATGCTATTAATTCTGCTGTTTCTGGCTGCTAGATTCTTGGTAACTGCTTTCTAAATCTGGTTGGGAACTTTATTGGTCAATGAAACTTTTGAGCCAATTAAGCTTTAATCAAAACAAAGCACAACAAAAAATCCTCACCCAGCTTAACCACCCTGACTCTTCGCCCACTCTGATTTTCACTATTTGTATCAATTGGATGAAGAAGTCAGTTCAGATCTTGGAGGATGAACTTCAAGATGTCAAGATCCCGGGGTAATTTGGTACGAAGCCGAAATGTACTTCATTTTCAAATGAGCAAACACTGAAGTTGCCATAACACACAAAACATATGGCCCCCTGATTCTTAAACCAGGCAGTAGTTGGGATGGCACAAGAATATGTTGGCCAAGTGCTCCTCCAAGGGTAACCTGGCCATGGCAAGGACAGCAGCTCACAAAGCCCTTATCTGCTCCTGCTATATCTGCTGTACCCAAAGAATCATGGACGCACTTGCTTGGGCCTCTCCAGTGATCCTGGCACAATGTGGCACACAGCACCACACACTCTCTAAGCAAACCTAAAGTCAATCCCCAGCACCTAACGGCAGATAACATTTCCTTGTACTAATTTCCACTTGTAAAAACAGCCTGCTATTCCCACTCTCAGTACTCCTGCTCATCAACTGGAATGTTCTTGCTCCTTTTTCCTTTCCATGTCAGTCTCTGGTGCCAGTTCCATCACAAAACCTTTCCCTGGAACACAACACTGGCTCAGCAGTCACACAGCTGTGGGGCTTTAGTGACAGCTCTTCCCATTGGCCAGAAGGACAAACAAGGAGTGCAACCAGGCTGCACAGAGAAGAGTGAAAATCTTGCTCCCCTCCCCATTTTGGGTCATGCATCTCTTTTTATTGCTTATTTTATGATTCTTTTTCCCCCACTCCTGTAGTATAAAGTGACGATTGCACAAAACTGGGACGAAGTGCTGCAATACTTAATGGAGCTCACGTCGGTGGCTGTGTGAAATCAGCAAGCAGGCCTCAAAGGGAACCTGTAGGAGTAAAGCCCTTGGACTGCCATTCCATACAAACGCAAACTCCCTGTTTGTGTGCTAATCTCAGCAGTTCCATCATCAGTTCATGCAGTGGGAGCAGCGCTGCTCTGGCTGTGCTGAGCGCTACCTCTGACCGAGTGCATGTGCTACGTTTTAAAGTAATTCCTGTTCGGTTTGGGGTGTGAGCAGATTTCTACCTGCAAGCAAGCACCTTTTTGAAACCGTGTCTCACCCATTTAGCAATCGCGACACAAGTAAGGGCACAGCAACCTCAGCCTAAGAATAACATTTCAACACAGTTTAGATCTACTTCAAGGTGCCGTCATCCCCGGGAGCGTGAAGCAGAGGATGACAACAGGTAGCAGCAGCAGCAGCTCAGCCAGACAACGCGGGCAGCTCCCGGGGCGACACTCACCGCTGTTCAGCTGCTGCCCGAAGGCGGCGGGCGGGCGGCGCGGGGCGGCGGGCGGCGGGCGGCAGTCCCAGCGCTCGTGTCGGAACTGGCTGCGGCACTCCTGGAGGCCGAGACGCGCTCCCTCCCGGATGGCGGGCACCAGCTCCGGCTTCTGCCTGCACAGCTCCTGCTGCCCGGGGCTCAGCGGAGGGCTGGCGCAGCCCGGCTTCTCCGGCCCGCCGGCGGCCGCGATGCCCAACCACCTGCGGAACAGCCCCGTCAGCGCCGGGACCGGCGGACCCGCGCCGCGCTGCCCCGATCCCCGCATCCCCGCGCCCGGCTACTCACATCCATGTGCCGCCCGCGGCGCCGGGGCAGAGGGCGAGCAGCATCGCCGCCCGCAGGAGGCTCCGACCGAGGGCGGCCCCGCGCCCCATGGCCGCGCATCGAGCCCCTACTCGGCTCCGTCCTCCGCGGGGACAGCTCGGGCCGGCGAGGAGGGCGGCGGGTGGGGAAGCATCGGGAGAGCTTTATTCCCTTCAAGGTGAGAAAGTTGGGCTTGATGCTTTCCCCCGGGCCGCTCCCGGCTCTGCCTCCCCCGGCCGCGCATTGGCCGCCCGGGGAGCGGGGCGGGCCGGGGCGGGGAGCGGGGAACTGCGCACCGATCCGCACCACTCCGCACCGCCGCCCGCCCCTCGGCGCTGTCCTTCTCTTCCTCCGGGACTGAAGCTCCTGGGGGGATGCTGGGGAAGTGCAGGCGCCGCGGGGTGTGCTGCAGGCATTGGGCCGCAGCGACTTCGTGCACAGAAAAGAGGCGTAAGGAGGGCTGGTCATAAGTGAGAATTTTTCCCACACGTTTTATTTAAATTTCCCTGTGCTTTCGTAGTGCTAGATAACTGGCCGTGGAGCCAGCATCACTGCTCATTTGCCCAGTCCTGTTAACTTCATTCTAAGCCTTATCAGCTATTAATTTAGTATTTGTTAATCACTTGTGCAAAGTCTTGGACAGAAAGGCACCCTCAGCCCATGCTGGCAGCCCGATGCATGATGCAGAGCATCACCAGCACCCGGGGCTTCCAGGTCTGATTTACTCCAGTGTATGCACACTGCACACAGCCCAGGTAACAGGGCAGCTCCGGGCAGGCTCTGGTATGACACAGCTGTAAAAGTGACATAGCTCCTGCTGACTGACAATAGCGCTAAGCAAAGAGCAAAACAAATCATCTTGACAGATAGTTTTTAAGAGCACAGCATGTAGAGAAATAATTGCACGAATGTGGCGTTCACCCTGCCTGTTTACCAGTGGATATACTGAGATATTTCAAGAGCATTGGCTAGGGTACAATCAGAGCCATAAAACTGTCTCCTTCCTACTTCATTTGCCTACTCTTAAAGGGTCTCCATGGCACCACCGATGCTGGGCAGATTCCACATGACCCAACAAGTCATTCAAAGCTTCCAGTGCAGCTCATTTCTCTGCTCTGAATTCCAGCCTGGTGAACATCTGCTTGCGGTTGCAGAGGAACTTTGTTCAGAGTGAGGGAAGGGACACAGGACCACGCTGGGACACAGGGAAAGGCCTGAGCCAGCCAAACTGCATGGGCTGTGTCAGGGAACTACTGTTACCCTCACTGCTGCTTCCTGGCTCCACCTATTGAAGTAATTCAAAGCCCTGACCTGGCAATGCTGTGTTTCTCATTCCCTTCTTAATCTACTTGTTGCATTAATCAGCTATTCTGTCTACTTTTTTTCCTGCCTGTTGTTTTAACTGGGTTCTTCTCTTGCATTCTCTCTCTCTTTAATTAGTCTGGAGCCTTTGATTTTAAATTCCTATGTTTGAGATTTTGTCTAGAAGCTGCAGAATTTTATGTTTTAGTAACAATTTACATAAAATTTTAATTAAAAAAGCACTGATTTGAAAAATTCCAAACCTATTTGTAAGACCTTATCCAGGATAACTTAAAAATTCTCTTCTGGGATCCCCTGAGCTGGGATCTGATTTTGCCTACATTCTATGCTATCGGAGCCATTAGGTAGTTAAGAAAATGTTTTGATCATATACACTGGTGTAGAGTGAAACTGCAATTTGAAGGGCTGATACTAAAGAGTACATATTGTGAGGGACCTCTGGATATCTTTTAGTTCATTCTGTGTAGGATTGGAAGCAGGACAAGTTTTTCCATGAACATCTGATTTAAAGAAGTTTGGATTACTGTGTTTGTTTGTCCCAGCCCTCCATCTGCCTCTCTTCCTGTTTCCAACCACTGCCCCTCCTGCCTACAGCCCTGCACCTCCTTTCTGGCTACAGTGGTGTGGTCACCCACCAGAACCCCGTCCTCTTCCCTGCTCCTTTCCTCACTTTCCTTTCTGCCATTTGCATCATCTCTCTGCTTCGTTCCCTGGGCATAAGCAGCACAGCCAGGAGTGGCTGGTGCTCCAGAGCACCTTGTGCAGGAAGAGCATTCCCTCCATCACAGACAGTGACGAGAATGTAGAGAGACTATGGACAGGGGTCTGACAGAGAGGTCAGCTACTGAGCTTGAGTCATCAAAAATTGATATCAATGAAGGAAGATAAATCTGGTTGATTGCTTATTTAAAATTCATTGTCCAGTGTGGGGCTTTCTTTGCCTATTCATACTAAAATGCCCACAGTTTTCTATTTTAAAAAGAAGACAATAAATTGTTGTTCAAGAAAAATCAAGAAGAAAAAAGAAGGGAAAGTGTCCCAGTGGAGTGGTGTTTCCTGACTTGGCATTTATAAATGTGCTATTTAATTATGATTAATATCATCTTGACAGAGTTGGTTGCAGATATGTAATTATTTTTTATTTCATTTTATTCTTCATTAGTTAAAGAAAAGTACTCCACTGTATGGAATCTGTATACATAAGTGGATCACTCAGTAGATAATATACCTGGAAGATGGACTAAATATCTCTTAATGCAGTTAATGGATACTGTTGTCAGTATAACCAAGGCCTGCTGTCCCATTCACTAGGCACAAGAACCTCTAAAGTTAAACACTCTCAAGTTTCCCTATACAAGTCACCACTTTTGGAAGTTGTTTGGAAATCATTTAGTTCAAGTAATTCTCCTTATTCCGGCACTTGTGATGCCCAGGCAGAGGCACCTGAATATCAGCACCACCTGGCATTCTGCATTATCCCTCCCACACACATGGCCCTACTGCCCAGTGGGGACAGCATCCCCTTATCTTTATGAACTGAGCACAAATCCCACCTTCCAAACAGAAGTATCTCCCACATTCTCTAGATTAGGTTATTCCTTCGGGTATGAAATTAATTGTGTGCGGTGGTACAAATTACAGTCTTCTCACTCATCAAATGTGCTTTCAGTCCACCTCTAGTCCACCGTGATGGCATCTGCCAGCACCAGGAGCCTGGAAGGTGCTGAGATCAGGCACTGAAGGAGCTGGAACCATTCCAGCACGAGGTGTTGTACTCAGAGCCCAAGTCTGTTGGCAGCAACAGGCTCATCTGAGGAAAACTCCCAGACTGTTTCCAAGTATGGTGTACCAGTAGAACCAGGGTGAAGGATGCAGTGCTGCTCAGCTTTGAGCATCCTCAGTTGGAAGGGACCAAAAGGACTGTTGAGTTGGTGGTTTTAAATAGCTGTGAACTCACCTGCCAGTGAATCATTCGTTGCAGGACTGTACCCTGATGGCACAGTGTGCTCAGATCCCAACACACAGATCTGCACACTGGGCACCTGTAAAACCTGATAGGCCTGGCCCATCCCAGCCTCCCCTTGCCCTTGTCCCTGCCTCCATCCTCTTCCTCCTTGACTGCAGAAGGAAGCAGAGGTGTGCGGGGAGACCTGACACCTCAGGACAGGGCTCCCAACACCCCCAGTGCAATATCTGTGAGGTGATGCCTCAGCAAACAAGTTTTAGGCCTTCAGTCATGCCACGCTGGCAGCAGAAGGGCAGAGAGAGATATCCTTCTCCCATTCAGAGCCCCCCAAGATCTTCTCTGTCCAGAGGTTTAAAATTGTTCTCGCTTTCACTCTTTCTTTCTTTCCTTTTTAGCATATGTAGCATGAAAGTATTTGCATCTGTGGCTATTGTAGATCTGACACACTGAGTTTGCAGGTGCCCAAAACAGCAATTGAAGTGCCTCTGGTTCATGGTGGCAGACAGAGATCTCACAAATACATGTAATGATTTCAAAGCCATCCCTTAATATTGTCGTTATAATCACTGCACAGCACCATATACAGACTCACATTTTCTACATGCATTGTAAAAAAGGGAAAAACAGGACTGGAAAGGCAAGGAGAAAGCAGACCTCTCAACATCTTTTCTATTCCCTATTAATGTTCATGAGATCTCTAAGGAAGTCTGCTGGAGCCAGTAACTTCAGTGCCCATTGCCGAAGCAGTTGCAGAGCAGCTCTTCTGGCAATCTGCTGCTGCTGCTGGTGATGCACTGCCAGAGGGCTGGGCCTGGGGCAGGGGAGGCTCAGGCTGGCTTTGGAGTCCAGATGGTTCTTTCCAGCATGCACGTGAGAAGTTGAGATCTGCTTGCATTCTGGGAGCAGATCCAGATTCTTACAGAATCCTTTGAGTTGGAAGGGACCCTTAAGGGTCATCTAGTCCAATGCCCCTGCAACGAACAGGGGCACCTACAGCTTGATCAGGGCACTCAGAGCCTGGTCTAGCCTGAAGTGCTGCTGGCAAATTCTGTTCTCTGACATAGGCAGTCCAAATGTTGGCAATGTCTAGAGTTACTCCACAGAGATTTTTTGGCATGCCTGTATCAAGCAAAATGTGTCAAGGGAATGCTGATAAAGCTTCAAAGCATTACTAAGAGGGGTGTGAAAGATGCAAAAAAAAAAAAAAAAAAAAACGACCACAGGTTTTAATTCTGACTCCACCCACATCCCACTTACTACTGAAAACCAAAATTAGTCATAACATCATAGTTAATAGCAGTGCACCTTTATTCCACTTATCAGTTTATCTTGTCTCAAGAATGGGAAATACTCTGGGAGGTGTGAGAATCGAGAAAATTTGCCTCAAGTTTTTCATGATACTTCATTATTATTATTATTATTTTTAACATGAAGTGTGTGAGATTGGAAGATTGCTCCTGGTTAGTGCTGCAGAACCTCTCAGAGTTTATGGTGGACACAGCTCCACTCTATGAAAGAACCTGAGTGATATTAGAAGGGAGAGCTGGTCCTTAAGCAGTTTTAAATCAGTGTCAGACTCTTCCTAGGGTGTAGCACAACTACTCTGTTACTGTATGTGAAAGTCTGCTGTGGGTTTCTGAGTGAACAGATAAGATGTCCTGTATGTGTGCACG